GAGCGGGGGGCTTCGCCCTAGCCCGCCTGAAGGCTGTATATTGTTCTCCCCTGTTTGTTTTTTTGCTTTGTTTTCCCTTTTGTGTGAAATCGAACCCTTCTACAGCCTCCCCACAGCTCGCGTGCCACATATCAAACCTTAACCAGGGTTTTGTCACCTTCGTGCCCCCACCCGCGGCCTGTCACCGCCATGTCGGTGCCCTCTGACAGAAAACACGTTGGGGACATGTTTGTTTGTTTGTTTGTTTTTGAAATAAGCCGCTGTGCCTGGGCATTGGTGGCCTTTCCAGCTCATCCATGGCTGTGGGGCAGCCCCTGCCCATGTCCCCATTGCCCAGGACACCCTCGACCTTGGCATTGCTGCGGCAGGTCAGGGATGCGCCATGGGCGAGACCCACGGGGCTAGTCCAGGTGTCCAGACCAAGTCCCAGGTCTTGGGCTAGAGCGGCCACTTGCTGCTTTCAGGAACTTTGGGAAGTGTGAACCGTGTTGGATCAGAGGAGCAGAGGCCCATGTTTGCTCTGCTTGGTTTCATTTGGTTTTCCCAAGAATTAATTTTGCTGGTTGTGTATGGAGCAATCAGTTACAACCTTTTATCACACAGATACTCCCCAGCTGGAGCGTTATTAGACACCAGCTTTTATGTGGCTTTTACATTAGCCTATGATATATATATATTTTAATCCCTTTTATTATCATTGAACAGAATCCAAGATGTGGCGTTTGATCCACGAGGTGTTGATCTGCCCCAGCGTCTGAAGCCCGGCGGATGGGGAGTTCCCTGCACGGAGCTGGGACCCAGTGCTCGCTCTGTAAGGCAACACACTTTTTCTCCTTCCAGTCTAATCCCTTAGCTCTGTTCCTCCTCGGCAGGAGTTTCAAACCTTTTCAAATGATTGTCTTTTGCTCTGCCAGTTGTTTCCCAGTTGCTGTCATTTAGTCGAGAAAATCTAAGCCTTTGCTGCTCGCTCCCTGCCTCTGTCTCATGACTGTAATCAGCCTGGGTTTCTTGGCACCTCTGAACACACACAAGTCAGTGGGAGATGGGCAAAAGCCAAAAATCCAGAAACTTATAATTATGAGAGGGAGAAAAAGCCCAAAGAAGTACTGCTAGTTCCCTGACGGTGATTCCAGACGTTCAAGTATTTTGTGGTATTAGCAGCTCTCTCTGACACTGTGGGCACCATAGCGTGGGCTGCGTCCTGCGGTCAGCTTCCCAGGCTTTGCTAAGATTTTCTCTTTCCAGACAGGCGCCTTTTTTTTTTTTTTTTCCCTTCCCTGGTTATAAAGTTGCATTAGTTTTCCATTTAATTATTCACATATTCTTTTTATTTATTCAGCATAACTCAAAAAGGGTTTTGTCTTAGGTATATAAATATATATATGGAGTTTTGTCCCATATGCTACTCTAGATAAAATATCTCACCTGGAGATTCATGAGTTTAGTTTTGCTGTTGATTTTTCTATGTTTTGTTTTGCTGTTGTTTATTGAACACTTGAAATATTTCGTGGCACTCTTCTTACTTTGTATGACCTTAAAGAATAACCTAGATTTTGTGCTCAAATGTCCTTGGACTAATTGAGTAAGATTCGATCCTCTGGCTCTCCTAAGCCCAAAGAGGAGATGCCATAAAGTCAGCATGTGCTAGTGCCTCCTTTAAGTCTGTGAAGCTCAGCTGGTACGGAGGAAAAAAAAGCCAAACACAGCCACTACTTGTGAGTCTGTGCATTAGTTCTGCAATATTACACTTTAATTGGGGCAGGCATGAACCTGTCATGGAGCTGAGCTGTTAAAAGTTCCTCCTCGCTGTCTTCCCATTGCCACAACAGCCTTACCACAAAAGTGGGAAGATGCAGACTTTGGGATAGTCAAATCTTTTAATATGATAAAAAGAATTAAATGAAATAACAAGAATGGTCTTTTATATATATATATTATTTTAGTTCTGATACACTCCAGTATTTCACAGATTATAAAATCCTTTAAGTAAGGAGAAAGAAGTACCTCACAGGAATCCTGGGAAAAATAAGGCAATTGTGAATTAATAAAGCTTGTAGTGCCAGAATGTGTTAATATCACGATTGAATCGAGGTGTCTAATATTCCATGTTCATTAACCTCCTTGAACTTTTCATAGGGCTTAGCTCTTCTAAGGGTAATGCTTGGATCTGGGTTTGAGAATTCCATCTGAAGGCTGTTTAAAAGCTGTTAGCTTTCTAGTTCGTTTGGGAAAAAAAAAAAAAAAGTTCTCAGCTCCCACTGCAGGTAGAAAACGTTCATGTTGAACTTACAATTTGGCAAATATATGGAATGAAATGGTTTTATACTATATCGTGAGAGATTTGATGTAAACAACCCCCTTCCTGACCTGAACAGTAAGAAAAAAATTGCAGTGGGTGTTCGCATCAGATGGAGATACTGAGCTAGTTGTTCCTTTGATGTGCAAAATGCACATAGAAAGTTCCATTTCTCTGAACACAGTAGGAGTTAAGCACCAAAGACAGCTTCTTGGCTTACAGCTTCAAGTCTTTTTTTTTTTTTTTTCAGAGAACAGGTTTATATGAGCTCTCTTTCGAAGCACAGGCTACCAAGGTTTCTTTCCTTCTCATGTTCTCAGACATGAGCATGTTTCTGTCTTTCCATTGACATTCACTTTGCATTGCAACCCCTCTTCCTACACAGTTTCATACTTTGGAGGGACCTTGGATGTGGCGTAAGCCATTAGGACGCTGTCCTTTCCTTGCTTTTTGAGTTGGTTTGCATGGAAGATGGCTCTCGCTTCCATCTGAACCTGGCAGGTTTCTTCCTAACACACCTCCACAACTCAGAGAAAGGAGTTGCAGAGGCACTGCACACTTTTCAAAGAAGATCTGGTTTTGATGCCAAGGAATTTACCCCCCTTCTGCTAACCATTTTAAGCACTTATTTCTGCACTGTAGAAACTACAAAAATTTTAAGTGATAAATAAGAGGTGATATAGCAAGAACAAGAAGAGAGACATCCCAAAATGGCTGAGAAAACCTCTCTAACAGCAAATCATTTCCACATCATACTTGTAAGATCAGAGGATCTCTATATTTTACTGTCTTAGCAGATCTGTTTTGTCATGCCATTTTTATCAAGAATTATTAATACATGTTTGTGCTGATGCATTTCTTATCATGCCGACTTGCAGCATGCTAGTGGACAGCCTTTGAGATTTAACACCTGAATTCCCTTGCCACTCTGCAGGAGTTGATTATTTGCTTGAATGTGGTATTTTTCTATATATATTTAATAAAGTGACAAAATGTCACTTCAGTTATGCCCAATTCAAAGTTATTGGGAAAACACATTCGTTGCTGTAAAATTTCATTGATTAAGATGCAAGAGGCTGAGCTGGCTCACTGATGGCTTTATAGGCAAGAAAGATGAATACATCTAAATCAAATGGGGTTTGCTTCAAAGTAATAAAACCTTTCATTGATTTCTATGCCTTTGGGTTTTATCTCAGTTATAACTTTTATAATAGTCATTTAAGACTGGGGAGTGGTTCTTTTTGCATAATACTTAGAACCAGATTCTTTCTCCTCTTCCTGCAAAGCAAGATGAGCTGAGCAGTGTGGGGCAAGTGGAGGACAGCATATTATGGCAATAAAATGCTCTACTAATGATGGCAAAAAATTGAATGCCACAGTTGGATTTCCAAAATTTGAGACATATTTTACCTCCCTTATAATCACTTCCTATATTCAGGCTCTTGCTGGAGCAAAATTAAGCAGTATTTACCACTCAGGAAAAACATTATTATTATTATCATTATTTTTCTGATGTCTTAAAATGGTCAGTGGTCAAAAGTTAGGGCACAGACATAAGGAGGATGCTACCTGGCATTATGTAGCGTCAGGAGTCCTGCACAGCATAAAATGTTGTCATAAAGAGCTATTGCACAGTGAGTGTTTTGTATGTGTTTTTTCCTGTCATCCTAGGAAGCTGTGCTGTCTCCCAGTTATAAAAAAAAAATCTGGAAGCAAGGGGGGATAGATGAAGGAGTTTAGAAAAGTGTTTTGACTTGCAGTTCCTCTTGTTCTGTTCACATCAGATAACTCTCTATCATTCATGATCACTAGGTGATAAACTAAAATCTTTGTTTAACCACCTAGGCCTGGAGGCATCAACCATGTCCTATAAATGTTCCTGTGTGATGAAATGTGGAGGCAAGTTAGATAAATGAGGTATGGGTGATGGAAACTGTGTGCTATTCCCCTTTGTTGTATCGTGGGGGTGAAGAAAACAGGCAAAACTCAAGAGCCGAATCTTTCAGCGAGTCCCTGGAGCTGCTACATGCCACGAACTCCGACGTGACATGCGGAACAGGCTGCTCCGCTGCCTGTTTCAGTGCCCTTCAGCCAGTGACATGTATGTCTCTGCAAGTACAGTGTCTGCTTGGTTGGACGATTGTGCCATATTTTGTTTTTCTCAAGGAGAAACGGAAGCTTAATGTCTCAAAGTTTCAGCTTTGTAGTATAGCCAGGAAATCTGTCCATTAGAATCACAAGCCTCTTTCATGCATGGCCAGTTCCAAAGTCCTGTACAACAGGGTTCAGGAATGGAAAATGTCATCTACAATTATGCGTATTTTCATCATCTTCTGTCATGCAAATTCCTCCCCCCAAGTATGCAGCGAATGCTTTGTTTGCATATGTAGGTCAGCCACAATCTTAAGAGGTCTAATATAAACACTGTAAGCAGAGGTTAATGTAAACAAATTTAAATCCAGTCTGAGAAGCATAATTACAACAAAGACATTTTCCAAAGGAGTCTGTTTACTAGATGTGTTTTCTTTTGACTTTTCAGTTTATAAAACATTGATTTCTAATTCATTTATGAAAGTACAAAGGACAGAAAATACTCAACGTAGTTACAAAAGGGACTATTAACTTCACACATGGATGGATAGCTCTTAATGAGTAACTTATTTTTTATAATAGTTTTAGGAGTGTGTTGTTTTTCAGTACGCTATGCTGAAGTCTTCCTGCAAGTAATTCTTATTTTGCCACTGGCAAGAAGCCAGTTCTAGAAGTTGTTTTTCATAATAACTTAGGTTCTTTAGAAAAGAAAACACAGAAAAGTGGTAGGATTTTTTTGTCGTTCTGATGCAAGAGAAAAGCTAGAAATATCAATCCAGATTTATTAACAAAAGGCTAAGTAGAAATTAAGAAAAATGTTGTGACTTTTTAAACCTGGGAGCTTGTTGTGCTCCCATGTGAGACTCAGGAATCCTGTATAGCACAGGTTGGCAGTACAGTCCAGCCTCAGCACGCGAGTTGCTTGGATCAGCGCATTATCATGATGCAAACCTCAATTGCACTGTTTCTTGCCTGGGAGAGTGTAATTCTTAGACCTGGGTTTTCAGTGAGTATATTTCTGCATATACATGCAGGATACCTGTTAGCATAATTCAGTGAAACAGGTTGATCCATGAAATAATATTGATGTATATCTCTGTATCTATAAAATTGCTGTATGAGCAGAGTCATCCTTGGACCTGTTGGTTATATATGCACATCGCAGGCAGGTACACACAAATACCAGTTTAACTGTGATATAATGACCAATAAGCTATGACTCCGTAGGAGAGTACATTTTGCTTTGTCCTCTCTACAAATACCGTAGCCAGTATTATACTGAAAGGATGATTCTGAGAAATAATTCAATATTTTTTTCCAGCATACTCCAGCAGATGTACAGTTCTGGAACAGAATACACAGATTACTTGTTATCCCAAAACAGCAACAATTTGCTCTTAAACACAAGCTTATTTTCTGAGACCTTTGCTCGGAGGGATTTGTTGAAAACACACAGTAACTTTAGATTTCTCTTCTCACAGAGCACAGACAACCTAAAGTTTCATTTGTTTTCCCTCCTGCCACTAGATCCAACCTGCAATATTCAGCAGGGTACACTCTCCTTCAGCCATTACCTTGCTACCTCATTACTACTCAACCTATACTTTACTCCCCTACCTTGCAATACATGAGTACCATGTGCAGGCTGATTTCATGCTGTACGCTACAGACCATCCCTATTTATCTCAACAGGAGGTGGAGGCTTTATCCATATAGTACAAAGCAAACTAGGTATCTGATGTATTACTGCTTCTCCAGTAAAGAGACTACTAGTATGTTATTAGCCTGTAAGAAACATGCATATTTACTAATTTGATACAAAAATATTTCTGCTGTGCAATCATTTTGTTTGGTATTTCCCATGCTCTAAAGCTTGTTAATGCCTCGACCCATCTCTACTATATCCCTGGCTTTGCTTCAGCACTGCTGGCGATAAATCTCTTAATATATGTTAAAAAATGCTTATCCGGGGGATGAGCAATAAGAGACTGTAACAGTCAGGTCACGACTCTAAATCACACTGCAGTTGGCAGACGCCAGCAGTTGCTCCCATCTGGTGCCGTTTGGTGGGACCATTACAGGATGTCAGCGGGCAGACAGCTGTCATTTTTACACCCGTCAGAGCTGGCTGTAGCTGACACTTTTTCAGGCTACCGCAGCAGAGAGGCTAAAGGGAGGCTGTAGGTAAATGCACTAGTGAATGAAACCTAGGGAACTCCGGATGAGCATCTTTTTGGTGGTCCTAACGTACAGCTTCTAGCAAGGCTGCCCCTGCAGGTGCCTTTATGTGTTGTTTAGGAGACAGAAGAGCCCGGTAATTAAAGTTTCATCCCTAATACCGCTGAGTTGCATGGAAAACAGCCAACACGTGCAGCATTGCTGTTGGCCAGGCACACTGTACCTTGTTTCTGTCTATAAAATACATGTTGGATGAAAATGAAGTGATAATCCAGGTGTTCCTGAAACCTGATCTGGCATGAGGAAAGCCTCTTATCTCTTTCTGCTCTCTGGACTGAACTTAATTTTCCTGCCATGGCTGTTTCATTTTACCTGCCATCCAACTGGAAGTCCTATCTTTTTGTGGCATTTATTTAAATTTTGCTTTCATGCAAGTTCTGTCCCTTCTCCATTGCAGCAACACAGTTCTGTTCGCAGCTATTTCATCCAAAATCCTGATTATTCCTATCTTTTTTTTTTCCACCCTTCCAAAGTTTTTATTAAACCTGAAATACTGCAAGAAACGCTCAGATTTCACGGAGTGCTGCGCCACCTACTGCCTACGGTAAATAAGAAAGCAGTTTATTTTCCAAAATTTAATATAGCTAGATATTATGCATCGTTTTATATATAATTACAGATATAATTAATATTATAATTATGCTAATGGTTATATGTTACGTATTTATACATGTGTATGTGTTCAGTTTGAAGTTTATGCATTTGGGGGGAATTTTTTGATAAAATCAGTCCATTCAGGATCCAAGAGCCATTTGGAGTGAGCGTTTTGGTGACTGTTGGGCCTGGAACAGGGGCTCATTCACTTGACGTCTCAGACATGCCAATCCCCATAGGTGGCTGTTGTTTAAGAATACTGGCATGGGAAGGTAGCGAAACCAGTGGGATAATAGGCCTGGTGCAATCCCAGGCAAGGAATGTTGTCGCTGCTGGACAAGGGCGAGGGAATTCGCTGATTTAGACGAGGCTGCGGCCCGGCGGCGCGGCCGTGCCTGAGGTGGAGAGTAACGGGCAACGCCAGGCGCCCGCTTCCAAGATGGTCGCCGCGGCCACAGCCGCTGCCGCCGCCATCGTTTCCAAAATGGACTCCGCGCATGTCCTTTGCGCAGGGG